GGTCGGGAGTCAACATCAATCTATCTGTCGATGAGTTACAGGAGTCAACAGCATCTATCTGGTACAGGAGTCAACATCATCTATCTGGTCAATAGGTACGGGAGTCACATCATATATCTGTACAGGGAGTCAACATCATATTGGTCATGAAGGTACGGAGTCAAATCAATATATCTGTCATGAAGGTAAGGAGTCACTCAATCTATCTGTACAGGGCAGTCACATCAATATATCTGGTCAGAAGTCAGGAGTTCCATCTCAATATATCTGGTCATGAAGGACAGGGAGTCTCTTATGTCTGGTACGTGGAGTCACTCAATATCTCGTCAGAGTTACGGGTGTCACTCAATATCTGGTCATGAAGGTTACAGGGATCAACATCAATATATCTGGTCATGAAGGTATCAGGAGTCAACTCAATCTGATCTGGTCAATGAAGGTACAGGGAGTCAACATCAATATATCTGGTCAATGAAGGTACAGGGAGTCAACATCAAATAATTGGTCAATGAAGGTACAGGGAGTCAACATCAATAAATCTGGTCAATGAAGGTACAGGGAGTCAACATCAATCTATCTGTCAATGAAGTACAGGGGAGTCAACATCAATATATCTGGTACAGGGAGTCAACATCAATATATCTGGTCAATGAAGGTACAGGGAGTCAACATCAATATATCTGGTCAATGAAGGTACAGGGAGTCAACATCAATATATCTGGTACAGGGAGTCAACATCAATATATCTGGTCAATGAAGGTACAGGGAGTCAACATCAATATATCGGTCATGAAGTACGGTCAATCAATATCTGGTACAGGGAGTCAACATCAATCTATCTGGTCAATGAAGGTACAGGGAGTCAACATCAATCATATCTGGTCAATGAAGGTACAGGGAGTCAACATCAATATATCTGGTCAGATGTTGATGTATCTGTTGATATTACTTAAATATTTCTACTGCCGTGTTTGTGTGTTTTTCCTGTGTGTGTGTGTGGTAACAGACCTCCTGCCCGTGCTGAGGAAGCGTGTTTGTGTGTTTTTCCTGTGTGTGTGTGGTAACAGACCTCCTGCCCGTGCTGAGGAAGCGTGTGTGTGACGTGCGTTGGGAGGTTCGAGACTCCACTCTAGAGTTCCTCGGCCAGCTGTGTGCGTGTGAGGCGTTGGCCTGCACTGTCACCCCTATCCTGCTGGGGGCGCTGTGTGATCAGGAGAGCTATGTGAGGGCTAGTGCCATCTCTGCCCTGGCCAGGACTCTACCGCTACCACTCAGCGGCCTGCAGGGGGAGGCAGGGAACCATACACAGGTAAGGCTCTGGCCTACACAGTTAATTTACTGTATAACGGATGACTTTTATACTATTCCAAGTCTTCCTTAAAGAGGTGGGGTTTCAAGTGTCTCCGGGAAGGTGGTCAGTGACTCCGCTGTCCTGGCGTCGAGGGGGAGCTTGTTCCACCATTGGGGTGCCAGAGCAGCGAATAGCTTTTATTTATTTTTATTTGTGGGACAACTCGATAGACGATAGTAGTCACACTAAAGTCAACACTTCTAAGGTAAGATATATATATATATATATATATACAGTGCCTTCAGAAAGTATTCACACCCCTTCACTTTTTCCACATTTTGTTGTTTTACAGCCTGAATTTAAAATGGATTAAATTGAGATTTTCTTTTTTTAACAAGTCACATAATAAGTTGCATGTGACAGGAGAAAACAGAACAATAGCCCATAATATCAAAGTGGAATTATGTTTTTTTTTTTGAAAATTGTTCAAGAAGTATTCAACCCCTTTTGTTATGGCAAGCCTAAATAAGTTCAGGAGTAAAAATATGTTTAACAAAGTCACATAATAAGTTGCATGTGATAGGAGAAAACTGAGGATGGATCAACAACATTGTAGTTACGCCAAAACATTGCATCCTGTTTGCAACAAGGCACTAAAGTAATACTGCAAAAAAATGTGTTATGTTTGGGGCAAATACAATACAACACATCACTGAGTACCACTCTCCATATTTTCAAGCATAGTGGTGGCTGCATCATGTTATGGGTATGTTTGTAATCGTTAAGGACTGGGGAGTTTTTCACGATAAAAATAGACGGAATAGAGATAAGCACAGGCAAAATCCTAGAAGAAAACCTGGTTCAGTCTGCTTTCCAACAGACACTGGGAGATTAATTCACCTTTCAGCAGGACAATAACCTAAAAACACAAGGACAAATCTACAACTGGAGTTGCTTACCAAGAAGACAGTGAATGTTCCTGAGTCGCCGAGTTACGGTTTTTACTTAAATCTGCTTGAAAATATATGGCAAGACGTGAAAATGGTTGCCTAGCAATGATCAACAACCAATTTGACAGGGTTTGAAGAATTTTGAAAATAATAATGGGCAAATGTTGTACAATCCAGGTGTGTAAAGCTCATAGAGACTTACCCAGAAAGACTCACAGCTGTAAACGCTGCCAAAGGTGATTCTAACATGTATTGATTATTTATTTTTTAAACATGTTTTCACTTTGTCATTATGGGGTAAATACATCCACTTGACAAAAAGTCCCCCCCCCCCCGTGTCACAATGGGATTCCATAAGCTATTAGCGACCGTTGCTATATCAACGGTGTGACGACCGAACGCTCCCAATTCAAAATGTCCTTTTCATCCCAGCTATGTAAACAAAGCTGATTTCCTCGACCATTTCACTGCAAGTTTGGTTAATAAGATGAAAACATGACTTCAAAACTACTTCTGGGTACCTTGGTAACATTTCAACATCGTGAAATCAATGTCTTAAACGTTGCTACGTTTCTGAAATAGCAAAGAAAACGTGTAATCTGCTTGACACATGAATGTTGCTTACCTTACAGGTCACAGTCCGGCTCCGTTGGAAAGTCCTGCAGTCAGCATGCCAATTGCACACTCCCTCAATTTGAGACATCTGTGGCATTGTGTTGTGTGACAAAACTGCACATTTTGTCCCCAGCACAATGTGCACCTGTGTAATGATCATGCTGTTTAATCAGCTTCTTGATATGCCACACCTGTCAGGTGGATGGATTATCTTGGCAAAGGAGAAATGCTCACTAACAGGGATGTAAACAAATTTGTGCACAAAATTTGAGAGAAATGCGTATGGAAATTTCTGGGATCATTTATTTCAGCTCATAAAACATGGGACCAACACTACATGTTGCGTTTTATATTTTAGTTCACTATAAATAAAACTGTCTAGCTAGCTGACTAGGCAGGCTGAGCTAAATAAGTAGCAATGTCAATCTAAAAATATTTTTATTTAATTATTTATTCCTATTTAACAGTATTTACAAATATATGGTAAAGAAAGAGTGTTGTCTTTTCTGTCTTTTGAGGACTTCTGCAGCAGTATGTAGTCCGCAGGTAGTCACCATTTAAAAACACCGTCCTTTGAGAGCGATTCTGCGGTAATACATTTGTGCGGACTGGGCGAGCGCTTATGAGGTGTTCTAGAACTGCCCGCGTCCTCCGCGAGGTAAAACAGATCCAAGCAACCAGCATAGCAACGGACGCTTTGGTTCATTACGGCTGCTGAAAAGGCTGTAAAAAGGCTTCGAAAGGCTGAAATCGCTTGGTGAGGTGTTGTGCTAAGGTTGTTTACTGTTGTTACAAGGGGTGTGTGTTCTCCCCAGGAGGAGGCCGTGAGTCAGTTATAGTTAATTGTGCTTACTGTGTGTTCTCCCCAGGAGGAGGCCGTGAGTCAGTTACTAGACATCCTCTCTCAGGATTCAGAGGGCTTCGCCAGACGTGCTGTGGTCCAGTTCTTCATCAGCTGGCTAAAGACACACCCATCATCATCCTCCTCCTCCTCCTCCTCCTCGCTGCGTTCTGTCCTATCGCTGGGCAGCACTGACCTGGACTGGGAGGTCAAAGTTCACACCCTGGAGCTGGTTGACGACCTGATGGAGGAAACACTTCCAGGTCACCAGGAGACAGAGCTGTGGTCAGCTCCTCCCCACTACGGTGGCTCTGGAGGGACAAACCTACTAACACACACTAACCACACACACCCTTACGCTGTGGCGCCAAACCAGCCCTCAGCCCTTCTCACACACACCCCGACTGACACACACACCCCCCACACACACGCATCTGTAGTGTGTGGTCTGTCTAGGTTGGTAGAGCTAGGTGTTGTAACAGCGTTACTGAACGGCCTGTTTGACTGTGACAGACCTGTAGCTTTAAAAGCCTGTAGTCTGTTGCTACGACTACGAGACATGGTGTGTCCCCGGTCGCTAGGGAAAGGCGCTATGACGACTGACGACGCCACGGCAACAGTTGCCAAGGTGACTTTTGACCTGAGGGGTCAGGTTTGGGGGCGGGAGGTCATGAGGAAGTTACAGGAGAAGAGAGGATCTGATTGGGTTAGAGAGTCCAGGGAAGTAGGTTGTGATAGGCTGAACAGGAACAGAGTTTCTGATGGGACAGACGGGGCTGGTTCCGAAGCCTGTGATAGGGTGACAGGGAAGAGTGTGTGTGAGGGTAGTGTGACGGTCTGTGAGGTGCTGTGGTGGTTGGGTCTGGAGGAGAGACGGAGTGTGTTATCTCAGAGTAGTGACCACGTCCAGAACTCACCTCTCTCTTTACTGCAGGACATCTGAACGCTACAGACACATCACACACTGAGGAGGTTACTGTGGCACTGGTTTACTCCGACAACAAAACCCCACCTCACAACACTCTGTATCCGTCTAGGTTGTAGAAGCAGGTGTTTTTTGTAACACGTTTACTGACGGCCTGTTTGACTGTGAAGACCGTAGCTTTAAAGCGTATCTTTGTACGACTACGAGGACATGGTGGTGTCCCGTCGTACGTGAACTATGTGAATACGAGTGGGCTACCTGTACGTGACAGTTGCCAAGGTGTTTTTGCCCTGTCGTTGGCAGTTTTGGGGCGGGAGGTCACGTACGGGTTACGGAGTGAATCTGATTAGGGTAGGCTCCGGGGGTACGTTGCATAGTGAATACAGGAAGAGTTTTCTCATAGTACGGGACTGGTGAATTTGTTAGGGTGTTACGGGGAGATAGTGTAGGTTTAGTAGTGTCCGGTCTGTAGGTTGACTGTGAATCTTAGGGGTTTTCTTGGAGTGACAGGATACGAGGGGTGTTATCTCTGTAGTTGGACCAGGATCCAGGTAGTGACCTCTCTCTTACTGCAGGAATACTGAATCGCTTCTCCACACCTCCCCGCTTGAAGGAATTATAGTGGTGTTCTTGACACAAAACCTACATCCCACTCTATAATACGGTTGTTGCCCGACGTACAGTTGTACTTTAGGTAGTGTTTCTCCTCTGTACGTTGACTAGTGAATACCGTTAGGTGGTGTTTCTCCTCTGTACGTTGACTAGTGAATACCGTAGGTGGTGTTCCATTGGGACAGAACTCTTGATCATCCACCTACCAGGAAAATAAATAAAAATACTATTTTGATATTTCAAACCACCGGTGTCAAGGTTTTCCTGACTTGGTATGTTGAACAATGTTGAGAATGAAGAGAGATTCTCTGCCCTTCTCCCGGTTGTACATTCACCCCTCATGGATTTAAAAGGAATGGACTTTATAGTGGAACCTCCCTCCAGTCATGCTTGCACCAATCCTATACTTTGAAATGTATGAGGGGGAGTGAATGAGTGCACACTTCTAGAGAAGAGTAGAGAATCAGAACAGGTGCACTCTGATGAAGTCCTGAAGGCTGAATCCCGAATCACCCCCTGCCCCTCCCTTTACTGGTTCTAACAGCAGACCTATCAGCTTGCTGCCAGCTCTTAGCAAACTGTTGGAAAAAATGTGTTTGACCAAATACAATGCCATTTCTCTGTAAACTAATTAACAAGACTTTCAACATGCTTATAGAGAAGGGCACTCAACATGTACTGCACTGACACAAATGACTGAGGATTGGTTGAAAGAAATTGATAATAAGAAGATTCTGGGAGCTGTACTGTTAGATTTCAGTGCAGCTTTTGATATTATTGACCATAACCTGTTGTTGAAAAAACGTATGTGTTATGGCTTTTCAACCTCTGTCATATCGTGGATTCAGAGCTATCAATCTAATAGAACTCAAAGAGTTTTCTTTAATGGAAGCTTCTCTAATGTCAAACATGTAAAGTGTGGTGTACCACAGGGCAGCTCTCTAGGCCCTCCACTCTTTTCTATCTTTACCAATGACCTGCCACTGGCATTAAACAAAGCATGTGTCCCTGTATGCTGATGATTCAACCATATATGCATCAGCAACCACAGCTAATGAAGTCACCGAAACCCTTAACAAAGAGTTGCAGTCTGTTTAGGAATTGGGTGGCCAGTAATAAACTGGTCCTGAACATCTCTAAAACTAAGATCATTGTATTTGGTACAAATCATTCCCTAAGTTCTAGACCTCAGCTGAATCTGGTAATAAATGTTGTGGCTGTTGAGCAAGTTGAGGAGACTAAATTACTTGGCGTTACCTTAGATTGTTAACTGTCATGGTCAAAACATATAGATTCAATGGTTGTAAAGATGGGGAGAGGTCTGTCCGTAATAAAGAGATGCTCTGCTTTTTTGACACCACACTCCAAAAAGCAAGTTCTTATCTTGATTATTGTCCAGTCGTGTGGTCGAGTGCTGTAAGGAAAGACCTAGTTAAGCTGCTGGCCCAGAACAGAGCAGCACGTCTTGCTCTTCATTGTAATCAGAGGGTTGATATAAATATTATGCATGCCAGTCTCTCTTGGCTAAGAGTTGAGGAGAGACTGACTGCATCACTACTTCTTTTTATAAGAAACAATATGTTGAAAATCCCAAATTGTTTGCATAGTCAACTTACACACAACTCTTGACACACACACACTTACCCCACCAGACATGCCACCAGGGGTCTTTTCACAGTCCACAAATCCAGAACAAATTCAAGAAAGCGTACAGTATTATATAGAGCCATTAGTGCATGGAACTCCGTTCCATCTCATATTGCTCAAATAAACAGCAAACCTGGTTTAAAAAAACAGATAAAGCAAGATCTCACGGCACAACGCCTCTCCCCTATTTGACCTAGATAGTTTGTGTGTATGTATTGATATGTAGGCCTTTAAAAAATAAAATGTATGTAGTTCTGTCTTATATATTCTATCTGTCTTATAGCTGTTCTTATATATTAATGTTCTGTATTATGTCATGTTTCATGTTCTGTGTGGACCCCAGGAAGAGTAGCTGCTGCTTTTGCAACAGCTAATGGGGATCCTAATAAAAGACCAAAGTGTCCCAAAGCTGAGGGAGTGAAAATGATGGCGAGGGTCATTAGACCATCTGATAGCCACTTTGACCGAGCCAACAACGCTGCCGGCTTCTGAGCCAAGTACTATCCCATAATGCAGTGCAAATTCCCACAGAAGAATGGAGAGGCGTACCTAATTATAAGTCACCTGTATTTGTTTGTGTCTGGTTGAAATGTAACATATGAAATACCTCCCAAATTAAATGTTTAACTGTTACTGGGGTTTATATCTTGTAAAACGACAGGGGAAATTGTCTCATTTGAATTTCATGCTTGTTTTATTATTTAAAAGTGGAACATGAATTGCATGATTCAAGTCAGGAGTCTATCCTGAAGTCGGTGGGTTTATTGAGCCCCTACACCACTCTGGAAGTCACCCTCTGAGTTTCATCAGCAACACGTGACAACGGAGGAAACTCCGAGCGAGTTGGTAGGGCCGAGGGGCTGGTTTGGGATTCACAACATGAGTGTGTGGTTGTCCCCAGATGTGCTTCAGTACACCCTCTGGACCACCGGGGGCGGGGGGGGGGGGGCTGTACACACACCACATCTGTCACTCCTCCTGCCTCCCTCCCTCGTTTCTGAAAGATGAAGGGACCCAAGGGAGAGAGAGAGGGGGAGGGGGAGATAGAGAAGGAGGGGAAGAGAGAGAGAGGGATAGAGAAGAGGGAGGAAGAGAGGAATAAGAGAGATAGAGAGAGGAGGGGATAGAGAGAGAGGAGTGAATAGAGAGACGAGGAGAGAGGAGGCAGGATAAGAGAGGGAGGCGGATAGAGGAGAGGAGGGATGATATAGATGGAGAGAGTGAGGGACTAGAGAGGAGGAGTGAGAGGAGAGTAGAGAGAGATATAAATTTGTCACTCTGCGAGAGAGTGTGGAAGGAAGCTGAGAAGAGGAGAGGAACTGGCTACGAAGCGACGGAGGCGGAGGGATAGAGAGAGAGATGTAGTAATATCTTCTGTTCAGTCTAATTGTTCTGAGAGATTAGGGGTTCCTGAGCTGATGGACTGATCAATGAGCCCTCCCATCCGTGTGTGTTAACCATAATCCTGCGTTCCAGGTCAGCTGTCCTGTGTCCCTCCACACGTGGTGTGTGTGTGTGTGTAACCATATGCTCTGATTCAGGTCGCTGTCTGTGTCCCTCCCACCGTGTGTGTGTGTGTGTGTTAACCATATGCTCTGATTCCAGGTCATGCTGTCTGGTGTCCCTCCCACCGTGTGTGTGTGTGGTGTTTAACCATATGCTCTGATTCCAGGTCAGCTGTCTGTGTCCCTCCCACCGTGTGGTGTGTGTGTTGTGTTAACCATATGCTCTGATTCCAGGTCAGCTGTCTGTGTCCCTCCCACCGTGTGTGTGTGTGTGTGGTTAACCATATGCTCGATTCCAGGTCAGCTGTCTGTGTCCCTCCCACCGTGTTTGTGTGGTGTGTGTAACCATATGCTCTGATTCCAGGTCAGCTGTCTGTGTCCCTCCCACCGTGTGTGTTGGTGTGTTAACCATATGCTCTGATTCCACAGGTCAGCTTCTGTGTCCTCCCACCGTGGTGTGTGTGTGGTGTGTTAACCCATATGCTCTGATTCCAGGTCAGCTGTCTGTGTCCCTCCCACCGTGGTGTGTGTGTGTGTGTTAACCATATGCTCTGATTCCAGGTCAGCTGTCTGTGTCCCTCCCACCGTGTGTGTGTGTGTGTGTTAACCATATGCTCTGATTCCAGGTCAGCTGTCTGTGTCCCTCCCACCGTGTGTGTGTGTGTGTTAACCATATGCTCTGATTCCAGGTCAGCTGTCTGTGTCCCTCCCCCCACCGTGTGTGTGTGTGTGTGTTAACCATATGCTCTGATTCCAGGTCAGCTGTCTGTGTCCCTCCCACCGTGTGTGTGTGTGTGTGTTAACCATATGCTCTGATTCCAGGTCAGCTGTCTGTGTCCCTCGTCCCTTCTGAAGCGATATCTTACATAGAGTCAACACGGTTTGGGAAAACCCCAGTTGATCCTGGTGTGTGATAATGTTGTTTCAGATAGGAATGGTCTGACATAGAAACCGACCGACCGACCCGCTACCCGCACTAAGGACAATGATGAATAGTGTGTGTGTGTGTGTGTGTTTGCAGTGTGTGTTATCAGTGTGTGTGTGTGGGGGCTCTGCTCCATGCTGGGTGGTAATGTCAGTGTGGGGGGGGGCTCTGCTCCATGCTGGGTGGTAATGTCAGTGTGGGGGGGCTCTGCTCCATGCTGGGTGGTAATGTCAGTGTGGGGGGGGGGGGGGGGGGGGGGGCTCTGCTCCATGCTGGGTGGTAATGTCAGTGTGGGGGGGCTCTGCTCCATGCTGGGTGGTAATGTCAGT